TAATCCCGCCGCCGCTACGCTACATTAGCGCACAATGGCACAATCTGTTTGCTGGTTAATTCGCAGCTAACGCCGCCGTCGCGACCGCTCGACCTCCGGGCCTGAAAGCTCATCTGGGCGATGAGCAGAAACGTTAGCTTGACGCCGCCGACTACGAGCTTTCTTCGGATATGAACTGGCGGCAAAAATCACGGGACACTCGCCGGCGCTAACCATCTTGTCGCAAGGCCTCGTGGCCTCTGTATAGCATTCGGTTCGTTGAGGAATAAATAGCCGTCGATTACCATTGTATGTCAATATGTGCGTTGTTTTTTTTCATTTTTTTTTATTTGCGTATGTTACAATGTCTCGTATGTTTGGTTCATTTGAAATGTCTTTGACGATGTGTACAAAAATACCGTCAAACAAGTAGTAAGTAAAAGGGGAGTCGAAAAACAGCGATGGAAGCGGTGGGTTTTCGACACAGTAAACATCCATCATGGTTGACAGTGACAGGCTGTAATTGTTCCTCTTAACCAATCTACGAGCTGCAGACGCAAGAACACGCCGTCCTCCATAAACTCATTTGCCAGCTTTCCGAAATGCGTCTTTTGTCACCCGCCGATACAAAGTGCCCATTAAGTCAATATCCAATTACGAGGCCCCGCTCAGAGGCCCCTCCCACCTGCCACCTATCTAAGCGCGATAGCTCGGTCAGGCAGACCAATGGCTGGGGGGGGGGGGGAAGAAAAAAAATCTCTGGCGGAACGTGGCTGGCAACGTCTCGCTCACTTTAATTGGATCCTTTTAATAGTGCTCACAATGGCCACTCTCAACCGTGTCATTAGCTTTGTCCGCTGCCGATACTTTCATGGGCGGGCGGATTTCAGCCACTTACTCCCTCACAGGTCAAATATACGTATTAGCCTATCCATTCTTAATGTACTGTACTTATTACGTTTTTTTTTTTTTTAACTTATAAACATTAAACTCCAAAATGGCATTTGTGCAACAAACAATTTTTGGGGATTGGTCGGGGAGCGGGTCAATTTTGCCATGAAAACAGAGAAATACTTGCCTTTATTTTAAAATTGAACATTTTTTTTACATTACTTTCTTAGTTACAAAACAGAGAGAGACTAGTTGAGAATTTTTCAGGCGGACTAGTCGGGCAGCAGGTGAACAATGTCATAAAAAAAAAAAAAAAAAAAAAAAAAAA